AAAAAAAGTTGTTAAAAGTTAACATAAAAATTATGTGAGCTACCCACTAGCATAGAATAGAGTTAATATCTATATTTCAATCTTTAACTGGAAGAAGGAAAACTTTGAATAGAATAGATTAAGAATTTCATGAAAATTTTGAATCAATGGTGAAATTGAACCGTTGAAAATATATCCCTAAGAGATCTCAAAATAGTAATATAAAAACTTGATATTACTGAGTTTTTAATATTCAATTTTTATCTATGTTTATTATATTCAACAAATAATAGCTATAACTAATTCATAAGTACCTGATGATTAATAAGGATGAAGTATTAGATGGAAATGACATAAATTTAAGATGATGATTAGTTTGTATGAAAAGGTTTAAAAGTGAACGTAGGGAGTTGAATTATTGCTTAATGATGAAATAATATGAGTAGATTAACTTGATATAATTATAATTATTATGATAGGAGATTAGTGGTCGGGGAAGAGGGACTAATCATTGAAATGATTTGGAGTTGTGGCAAGTTATTTTTTTGATAAAATTTGATGGGCCAATGTTGTGAGATAATGTGATATTATGAGTCCAAGCACTAGCCTAGCTCCTTCCATTTGATATTTTTATCTTAATATTTTTATTAATTTATTATTATTATTATTTTTATTTTTAAACCCAATTGATTTGGCTAATATCTTCAATGAGATATCACCAAATTAGTAAGAATTCAAAAGTATATATAATACCAACTAGTATACAAATAACTATGCCATTTATTAAAAGAAAAAAAAAACCTTGATATGCCATATTTTGGTATATCTCGTTTATTGCTGAATTCTGCCAAGGACAGAAGGTGGGCCACTTCTAACCCAGACGAGTTTGGGTAGCTAGAGCGAACTATGCTAGAGAATATATGTACAAAAGAAACGAAGACTTTGAATCTCAAGTCAATCTGGATTTGACTTGAATAAATCTGTCTCAGACATAATAGTGTACTTGATTGAGAGGATTGAGTGTCATTTTATAGCGGACTAAGGGAGGAGGTTGTCATGATCGTTCCAACAAACGGTTAGGCTATTATAGGCTATCGGACCATAGGTTTCAGCAATATAGTAGCTCAGGAGTATATGTTTTGGTGCGAAAGTCATTTTAGTTCCTCTTGAACTTCATACGTCGGCCTATAATTTAGATTTGGATGTGTGCTTTATCCAAACGGGTTGAGATAGATCTATCGACCTATCTTGGTTGATCCCACGCAGCAAGTCAGATTTTTCCTTCAAACATTTATTTTAAGAAATTTAGTTGCATGAGAACAAATAACTTTTTTTTCATCTTCATCGTTTAGCTATGGTCTTATGAATGTAACTGACTGCCTTCTTGAAACTTTTATTACATATTAATGACTGAAATTAAAAATAAACTTCATGACTTCGTATACTTGTTAAGAAATCACCACTTTTAGTAAATTATGTGAGTTTTTATGTATCTCTACCTTTATCTCGTACTATCACTATGACACAACTATCGAAAGATTAATTCACTTCAAAGTTCATAATAATGAAAATTCATTTATTATCACCTAACTTCTGATAGTTTTTATTCCTTATATTCTCAAATGATATTCACGAAGAGCAAACAACCAACTTAAGAATTTGTTCACTTAACGAATACGGATTCTATGGTATCACAGCTCCCCATATAAGATCAAATGCAATATCTTTAGAGTTTTTTTTTTTTTTTTTCGAAATTTCAATAGAGTGGAAACACTCTGGTTAATATTTGGATTTTTCTTTCTTTCTTTTTTCCTATTACATTTTACCCAAAGAATGAGGAAGAAAATCAATCCGAACAAAATTTAGTAGATAAGACATTTATTACCTTCTCTACGGTTGAAAGTTTGATCCTCAGACCCGGGTTTGTTGAAGTTTAAAAAATCATATATACGAGAGGGAGACAATAAATTAAAAACTTGACCAAACCCAAAACATGTGATTCAAGTGCTTTTCAACAGAAAAAGGCAAAAACCCACCACACCAACCAACCCAAATGGCAAAGTTTCATGCACAAATCCCATTTGTTGAAAAAGCAAAACCCATTTGAATAAAAATAATTTGAGATTAGGGAGATGAACTTCCCATTAATCATATACTCATTAACATTAATTATTAATCATTTTAAAGGTCAAATTAAAATCCCCTTTTGCTACTTCTCAAAAATAAAAAAATAATAATAAATAAAAAACCTTTTGCTGTCCAAATTTGTCTGTCTTCTTCACATCTTCATGGAATCTCCTATGTTTTTGGCATTTTGGAACCATTACAAAGTCTCTAACTGTGCTTTGTTGCTTTCTTTGTTTTTATTTTTGTTTAATGCTTTTCCCCTAAAAAAATGACTTTCAGTTGGCTAATCTTTCTTGTTTAACATCATAATTTGAAAGCATGATTCAAGTTCATATTAGTTTTTTTCCCATCAACTTCAATCACCAACTTTGGAAGATTAAATTAATCGACACAAAATTTGAGTGTGAAAGTTTTTATGTTAAAAAATACATTTGATTCATATACTTTCGTTAAACGATTTAGCCATTGAATTTTTGTAACAATTTAGTCTACATAATTTAAATTTTGTAACAATTTAGTCCATATCATTTTTCTTCCTCAAAAGGTTTTAAAAGTAGTTAGAAACATATTCTTTCCATTTTTCTTTTTCTCGATCGGTGAATTTTGGTTGGTTTATTCTCCAATTTATGGTTGATTTTTGGCCTCATTATCAAATGATGACTATTTTATTTTTAGTTTCTGTTTCTAAAAATTAATTTATTGACTCGTGAACAAAAATGGATTCCAATCGTTGATTGGTTCTATATAATAAATAAATGATTTGATTTTTTATTTAACGTGACAATGACACATTGTAAAGTAAGGTTAAATATCATTGTTAATGAAATAATTACAAACTAACAAGTTAATGTTTTGGCATTTTCTTATTAATGAGCCATCAAAATGTCTAATATGCATTGAAAATTGAGGGATTATTGGAGATTTTTGTTGACCAAGTGGAATAGTTTTTTTTACTCACATAAATAAAGATAATTTGAGAGAGACATAAATTGCAATTAAAAACCCCATTTTTAGTAGTGACATATTTTCTATATCTTATCCAAATAGCAGTAGCAATATTTATATTTTAATTTTGAAAAAAGTTTATATTTTAATTAATAAATATTTAAATGCTTTATTTTGTTAGCACATCTTGATGTGGAGGTGATCAAACTTACAATTTTTTGGTCGGAAATATACGTTTTAATTATTTTTAAAATCGCGACAGTAGTAATAATTCATGCCTATCAAAATTTTAAATCATATATTTTAAGACGACAACTATTTTTACTCCAATTTTTAATAAGTTTTAAATTAAGTATTAAAGTTTTGAGTAAAAAATATTTGAGAGTCAAATTGTACCTAACTCTAATGTGCCTACAATAAGAGACTGGTTTAAATCTCCATTCTCGTATTTGTGATATAATATATATATCATTAAAAAATATCCAGGGATGATTTGGTCTTTTTACTTTTATATATAATGGGCCGGAAGGCCCAAGTTTCAGGAAAATCCGTGGGCTTTCTTTTCTCGTGAGCGCTCCCAAGAAAGAGAAAAAGTTCCATGTTAAGAACCGTGGGACCCACTTCTTGTTAACCATAGTTAGAGAAATAAACCACGATTCCTGGTTAGGTTAGATTCCTCTTCAACCTTGGTTAATCCCGAACTGGTTCGGACTTCGGCACGAGATCTGTTCCACGATTAGGGTTACGAAGGTTGGATTTTCGTCATCTTCTACAGTTAATTCTCTCAGATTTCTTAGTTTTCTTTTCCTCTTAAGATTGATATTCGGATTGAAGCTCTGCTTTGTGGAGATCTTCGATTTCTCTGAGAATTTTGTGACTCGAGAAGAAGGGAAAATTGGGGAAAGAGCAGGTAAAATGGAGACTCAAAGGATTATTGAATTCCCGCACAAAAATATGGATAAACGCCCAAGGAAAAGGCAGAGATTAACATGGGATATGCCTCCTCCCGTTCCTCCTCCTAAGGTATTGATTCTTGCTCTCTCGTGCAAGTACGGATTTAGAAATTTTTATTTTGTATTTTCAGACCTAGTTGTTCTAAGGATGTGGCTCTCGTAATAGTTCATTTTCCTTTTATACAATAACGAGTGCGTGTGGAATGGAGATTGAAATTCTCAAATCTTGAAATTGAAATCGACTTTTTATGGCTTTCGTCCTAATGATACTTCGGAATCAAAGCGTCCTGGTTTGACAATTCCGCACGTTTGCTTAATTTTTGACTTGTCATGAATTCAGGTTCTTCCAGCACCATACTGCGGGCAGGAATTTGGGAATGGGCAAGTTCCCAATTATGCATATCCATCTATGTATTGCAGGGGGGCACCACGGGTTGGATCTCCTCCATGGAGGCCTGATGATAAAGATGGACACTACGTATTCTCCATTGGAGAATGTTTAACCCCTCGCTGTAAGCATCTTCCAGTTCCCATTATAAGGTCATTGTCATCCCTTGTACATTTCAGACGCTTCTGGGGGAGCGTTCGGTTTTGGTCCCTGTGACAATTTCCGTTTAGGAATTTTATTTCTATTTGTTGGAATTTGTTCCTATTTTGGTAGTTAACGGATTGATCGTTGCCTCTCACAATAGATGGTGGAGGCATTTAATTATTTATTATTTTCCCCAACTTGTTTCTTGATATTTTGTCCGTATTATTGATATATTATTTCTCTTCCGTGAGCTGATATTTTTTTTTTTTTTTTGGTGCCATCTGCAGATAGAATTTTAAGCAAAATGGGTGAAGGTTAGTATTGCATCTTCAGGGACTTTTTTCCCCCCTTCTTTTCTTCTCTCTCTTTCTCTTCGGATTAGGGGATGTCAATAACATGCTTGCAATTCACTGTAAATTTGCTTTTGAGTGGAAATTCAATCCCTGTTGCATCGAATCCATTTTCTGGGTTTTATTTTTATTCATCTTTTCTTTGTCCACTTTACAAAGTTCATCGTCCATTTGTTCATCTCTGTAGGAACATTTGGGCAAGTTTTGGAATGCTTGGACAGTGAGAAAAAAGAGGTTGTAGCAATTAAAATTGTTCGCTCTATAAGTAAATATCGTGAAGCTGCCATGATCGAAATTGATGTCTTACAAAGGCTGGCCAGGCATGATATTGGAGGCACCCGGTAAGAGTTTATCCATCTTACTTCACTTTTTTGTTGAAGTTCAAAGTAAATATTAGTATAAGTGGTTTCATTCTTTGCAGTTGTGTGCAAATTCGGAATTGGTTTGACTATCGTAATCATATATGTATTGTAAGTATTTGTTAATATCTCGTGATTTGATTAATTTGGAGGGGCAATACTAGTTCCTCCATGCCTGAATATTGTGTGAGTTAAAAGAAAACTTGCGGATGAATTTCAATGGTTCTAACAGGTATTTGAGAAGCTTGGACCAAGCTTATACGATTTTCTTCGCAAAAACAGCTACCGTTCATTTCCCATTGATCTTGTTCGGGAGTTTGCCAGACAACTTCTGGAGTCTGTAGCATGTGTGTGAATAATTCTTGCAATTTTTTTACTTGATGCTTGAATAAATGTGGCATGAAGCCAAGAATTGCATATTGAAATATATCTTTTCTTATGATGACTACTGAATTGTGACACTTTTTTGTTGGAGCATGAAATATTATTCTTGTTAGATGTCTGTCTTATTGACTTTTTAAATTGTTGTCTGTAGTTATGCACGAGCTACGGCTGATTCACACTGATTTGAAGCCAGAGAATATTCTTCTTGTTTCCTCGGAGTTCATTAGAGTGCCTGACCATAAGGTATACATGGATTGCTATTGATAATCTTTGCAGTCATGCATGGGAAGGGTCATAATACTCAGTGGTTGAGATATTATGCTTGTTTTTAAAAACTGACCATTATTAGCCCTCATCCCCCCTTTTTTCCTGCATTCAAGTTTTTGTCACGTTCGGCAAAAGATGGCTCCTATTTCAAGAATCTTCCAAAGTCGGCTGCCATTAAGCTCATTGATTTTGGAAGTACCACCTCTGAACATCAAGACCACAGCTATATTGTTTCAACACGTCATTATCGGGCACCTGAAGTGATCCTGGGTACATATTTTCCCTTTTACATTATCATTGTTTATTGGTTTGCCAATGGCTATACTTTTTGCTCCCCTCGAATTACACTCTGTTGTATTGTTTGCAGGTCTAGGTTGGAATTATCCTTGCGACCTATGGAGTGTGGGATGCATACTTGTTGAACTTTGTTCTGTAAGTATCTTCTTGTAGACTAGATTAAACAATATATTGGTTTATTTATATTTTGCTTCACCCCACAGTGAAATGAAGTTGACACAACTCCAATCTCTTATGATAAAAAAAAGATTGGAAAAATATGAATTTTCTTTTTATTGTTTTCTCGTGGTTGGTGCTTTTTGGAAGAATCCTGGTAATATTTTACGTCATGAGATAATTTGTAGGACCTGACCTATAGTTCATCACGGTTTATAGTGATTAGTGGGGTATTCTGGTAATTGACTGCTACAAACTGCTGCTTTAAGAAAAGTTCAGAAAGAATGAGTTTCTTTATGTTGTCTGATTAATTTGAGGTATTTTTACAACTAGTCTGTATTTTATTTTTCCTTTTGCTTTCATAATTTTTTGCTTGCTTGCAAGCAGGGTGAGGCTCTTTTCCAAACACACGAGAACTTAGAGCATCTTGCCATGATGGAGAAGGTTTTGGGTCCATTGCCTCAACATATGATTCTGCGGGCAGAGTAAGAAATTTTGTTCTCCTTTTCTTGGGTGCTGTTCGAGTTCTTGATGAAGCTCTTATTAATTGTAATTGGTGCTTACATTTTTTCAGTCGCCGTGCTGAGAAATACTTCAGGCGGGGTGTGCAGCTCGATTGGCCCCAAGGTGCAACATCTAGAGAAAGCATGAGAGCAGTCTGGAAGTTACTGAGGCTGCCCGTAATTATTTCCACATCCATTATTTTCACTAAAATTTTAGTACTTCAAGGCATAATTCTGTGTAGTGTTCCTCTTTTGAAATGTTCTATGCAGAACCTGATAATGCAGCACGTTGATCACTCGGCTGGTGATTTAATCGATCTCCTGCAAGGCCTCTTACGCTACGATCCAGCAGAGAGGCTCAAGGCAAGGGAAGCTCTAAGACATCCTTTCTTCACTAGAGACCTAAGAAGGTGTGGTTACCCCTTGTAGTTCTCATTCACATTTTAATCAAGAGTGAGCTGCTATCAAGAGGGAGAAAGAAAGAAAGAAACTTTAAAGAAGTGATGAATTGTTTCACCAATAAGCTCATCCATCCCATCTGTTTCTTTTTTTTCCTTTTGGATTTGTCAAATTCTTGTGTAGTTAAAATCCGAACGACGATGATTTCCCCCCATTCCTTTCTCTTCCACCTGTTCATTTCTATAACATCCTATAGAATGATATGTGATCTGTTCTGGGTAAATTCCAGTTTGGCCGTGGCGGTTCTTATGCAAAATTTTACAGTATTCGTTTTTTTACATTGATGTATTCTTGCTAGTTCATTATTTCCAGGTGCTTGGGCAAAGGTTTAACCATTGGAATGTAGATGCCAAACTAAAGGCTGCTGTGGAATGGAAACCGGAGCGGTGAAGCTTCTCTCTGCCATTTTTTGGTAACAACAGAAACACGAACAGGAAGATGGAGGTAACAGAAATGAGTAAAATACAAAGGAAAAAAACTTCTTGGAGAAGGGAGTGGGAAAGAAATTTTTTTGTAGCAAGTTTTTGACCATCAGAATGATAAAGAGAGATTTGGAATCAATACAGTGGTGTTTTAACGGTAAAACTATATTCAAGAATGGAGTTTTCTTTCTGCCTTCACCCATTTAGGTTTGAAAAAAATGAGAGTTCCAAGTTCAACACGTGTTCTTTAAAAATTTAATTGATTTTCTGAAATGGGAAAAAAATATAATTTCCCTTTGATTTTCTTGTTTTTCATCTTCAGTTTTATAGTTAGTATGCCAATTTTCTTTTTTCATGAAACAGAGGATGGTTCTTCATCTCTAAAAATATGAAAGTTTTTAAATATTTATGTTTTAATCTGCAAAAGTCATAAAACATTCATTTTAAACTTCTTTTAAGTGTTCATATTGTATTAAATGGAGGTCTATAAGCTCTTGGTTTTTGAAATTAATATCAAGTTTGTAATATGGCGTTGAATAGAACACAATTTAATGTAAGATTTCATCATAAGTAAATATGAAAATAGAATTTTATGCAAAGTTCAAGACTGAAAAATGAAAAATGTGCATTTAAAACCATAAGAAAAAAATAAACAAATAATTTAATGTAAAGTTAAAAAATAAAATGTTTTGAGGCCCTGCGGATGAAAGTGGGTCATAGATGCAGAAATATTTTGAAAACAGCGCCAAGGATTTTGGCGGTTTTTGCCTCCACGGTTTAAACGACGTCGTAGGAGGTATATTCCGAGAATTCTGTTAACTCGTCGTCGCTATTCTTCGTCTTCTTCCTTGTGCGACGCGATCAGGGTTTTGGAATGCCCATTTCTCTCGTCGCCATGGATTCTCTCGGAAGACTGCAACTCTGCCACCAGACCTTTCATCTTTCCGTCGATCACTTCCCGTGGTTCTCAAAACCGGTTTCTTTGCCTTGCTTCGGAACTCGACTGCCGATGGCGTCGTCGTCGTCGTCGTCGTTCCAATCGTCATCCCTTAAACTCTCGTGCTCCTCCGACTCGTTTTCTGAAACTTCGCCACGCCGTCGCCCTTCACTCCCCCAAATTCTGGACCCTGTTTCTTCGTCAATTTTCAAAACCTCCTGCCTCACTTTTGCCGCCGCCGCCGCTTTGTTCGTTACGCGGTTTTGCGGTAAACCAGCTATTGCAGCTCCAATTCCACCGCCCACGGTGGAGTCCGTGAAGGAACCGACGGATGGTGAAGCTTTTCGTGAAGAAAAAGAGAGGGTACTTGAAGAACAACTCGTGAACAATCCCAATGATATTGAAGCTCTGCGGTCACTCATGGAGGTAAGACTCAGGGCTCGCAAGTTTCCTGAAGCTGTTAACATCCTTGACCGTTTAATTGAACTTGAGCCCGACGATTTGGAATGGCTGGTGTTGAAGGCCAACGTTTATAGTCATGTGGGCAATTCTGAATTGGCGAGGAAAGAGTTTGAGAGGATTTTAGCGAAGGATCCTTTTCAAGTTGAGGCCTATCATGGGCTTGTGATGTTGACGGAGCCATCGGATACTAGTTCATTGAGGGAAATTCTGGGTAGGATTGAAGAAGCACTGGGAAATTGCAAGAAACATAAGGCGAAGTCGGAGGAAAGAGATTTGAAGCTCTTGTTAGCTCAGATTAAAGTTATGGAAGGAAGTTACTCTGAAGCACTGAAAGATTACCAGGAACTTGAGAGGGAGGAACCCAGGGATTTTAGGCCATATTTGTGTCAGGGGATTCTTTATACTCTGCTGAGGAAGAACGATGAGGCCGAGAAGCAATTTGAGATATTTCGGAGGCTGGTTCCAAAGAATCACCCCTACAAAGAATATTTTGATGAGAACATGTTCGCAACCAAGCATTTCGTACAACAGATTGAGAGGGATGCGGCGGGTTCAAATAATTGATTGCTCTTTATTATGTCTTCAAAACCTTCTGGTTCTTTACTGATGGTTTTGTTGCTAAATTGTTTCAATCTAGCTTCAGTTTTTATCCTATTTGGTTGCAAAATTAGGGAATAAAAGGTAAATATTTTGTTATTTTTCCCATGTTAGGGTCTCAGGGAGCTTGATGAATCTAGTTGTTTAACTGGAGTTTCTCTTGGGATCAATTTTTCACATTGCACATGTCTTGGTGTATTGAATTGCATGTGGCTAATCTAATCAAAGTACTATTTGATGGTTGAATTTCCTTTCTCCATCATGGATTTTAGCGAGAACGAATGTATAATTTTGAATCATGCCATTATGTGAGGTACTTTCTACAATTTACTGAAAAGAATCCATGTGTTTTTGGATTGAGTTGAGAATTTTCTGGCTTGTTCAAAGGCGACATTTGAGTTTGAACTTTGAAGTTCTTTCTTAGCTAGCTGAAAGTTTGGAATTCACTTCTGCACTGTATCTCCTTTCTAGTAGGGTGACTGATGAGAATGATAAATTGCTATTCTCGATTCTCGATTCTCCATTGTTTCTTTCACAAACACTGATAATTGGACGTTGGTTCTGATTAATAAAAGGGTGGACAGAGTAACTTTGATATGGTTCAGGATGAAAACTGGACAGGGAGAGATCTGTCTTTGTTCTTGTTTCTCATCCTTTCTTTCCCCCAAGCTTATGAACAGCACACATATTTACAACTCTTAAATTAGCCTTGAAAGACACTAGATTATTACTATTGTTAAAAGTAGTCTGGATTTGACTCAATTATTTGTTATGCCTAACTTTAGTTTGCTTTGAAAATTGAAATGAAGCACTATTGCATGCCTTTGGAAGAGGTTAGGACACTATCTGCTTTCAACTTTTGTGGCCGAATGTCTCTTCCAGGCACGACATAGCCCGTAACATCTGGCCTTTTGAATGCTTGACTGAATTTTCTCCCCTCTAAGGACTTTGCTTCTTTATCATTTTACTTTCACATTTAGAAGTAAGATATGTACTTGCTTGATGAAAGATTCTCAGGGAATAGTGTTAATATTTGTTGGGTGTAGAAAAATGAAGGTTGAGTTTCATTTAATGTCATGTCGCATTAATTCATCTGGGCCATGCAATTGCAGAAGGTAGAGCACAAATCGAGGCTTGGAGGCAAAGAATTCCCCTCAAGATACGATACAAAGGTTGGTCTGTACATTTACTTATTCTGAGACGTATTGTTAGCTGGTTTCATGTGCGTCTTGATTGCTTTCTGGGACATGTCGATGATTATTTCTACCATTTTTTATGATCTTTTTTTTGTTTCCTTCCATTTATCATCAAGATCTAATTATCTTATATGACGTAGATTGCATGTAAGACACTTGAGTCTAGATCAGTCATTTGTGCAGTAACGAGAATTCGAACCATGATTGATAAAAGATGTAGAAATACTTTAACTATTAAGCTTACTTTAAGTAAGCTGGCCTAGAAAGCGATGGTATCCCATTGAAAAGAAGGAAAAGAAATGTTGATTGCCTTGTTTGTCACGCATATAATTTGAAAAAGGGGTCTATGGCCAATCCGAAATTCCATGGCTGGTCATTGGGATGGATTTGACCTCAGTGATGGTGCTCCAGTTAGGGCTATTTTACCTTTTACCTTCTACCTTTTGTAGTTTAAAACCAGGGCGCTTGTCTCATTCTTGGAATGATCAAACATTTCAAATCTACTCCCCTTTTTCTTCCTAAATCACGTGCATTCAAATTTTTGTTCCTTCTAGATTTGAATCTGGCATTCAAACACTAGTTTTGAGGATTGTTCCCACTAGAAAGTAGAGAAATATGATTTTATTGTTTCTCTATTTAGTCCAAATGGTAAATTTTCCTAATCAAAATTGTTTTGTCAAAGAAATATTGCATCTGAAATCAACTCCAATTTGAACTATTCAAGTTGTTTTCAGAAGTAATGAGATTTCTTGTACATCACTTTTCTTTAACAAAGGGGAAAGCTTTATTTTAAAAAATAGCTCAATGGTTTAATGCAAAGTTATCTTAAAGTAGAATGAGGATAGTAAATGTTCTGTGTCTTCTTTTGCAAAGATAAGTAGTGGGGTAAGGATACTTTGGATGAAAGTTGTATATCATTACAACAGTGGTCCACATCTAATCTTTGTGGGAGTTTTGGCCATTTCGAGGTTAGTTTTGAGAAAACAATAAAGATTTTAAGTCACGGATATCAAAAAAAAAAAAAAAACTGTGTGTTGGTGAAGGTTGGAATTTATTGGATCGTAGTTAAGTTTTAAATACTATTTTTGTCATTGTACTTTTATTCTATTTGTTTTGGTCCCGTGTTTTTCAAAAGTGACCATTTTAGTATTTATTTATAAAATTTTAAAACAAATTCTATACACAATAGCACTATATTTTAAGGAATCTAGAGTATGATGTTGGGTTGAAATTGTGATCTAAAAAAATGAAATAAGAAAGAAAACAAAGGCACTAAAATAGAAAAAAGCTCAAAGTACAAAAACTAAAATAAACGTTTTTAAAAGTATACAGGTATAAGGACCAACCCTTTACTCTCCAACTCATCCCTTGGGGTATCATCACTAATATGCTAATATGATTATACAAATCAAGTTGAGTTCTGCAAATGTGAAAAATTCTTGATTTTTTTTTTTGCCATTAAATTAAGCTCCCCTTTTGGTGGTTTGTTTTGTCCTACTTATTGAATTGTTTATTATAGATTATTGTGAGACAATCTGTGATTACTAGTGGACATGACAAAGAAACTTACTATTTTATTTGTCTGTTTCTCTCTCTGTTTGTGTAGGAGCAGTGAATGAATGAATTGGAAGGAAACAAATGAAGCTTCAGTTGTCATGCGTCCCATCACTCTGTCCATGTTTCATGCATTCCTGCATGCCACACTTTTTTAATTGCTCAATATAAAATATTTGTAATAAGTATCTTCATCATTGTAATAAATTTATTTCTTATGATTTGGTTAAAATTTCAATTTGTTTCATATTGTTCTATAAGTTTCAATTTGGATTTAGATGATTTTACAAGTTTCAATCAAGTTCCTATAGTTTAGACTTAGTTTCAATATAAAACTTTCTCTAATTGCCCATCAACGGTGTGTTTACCTACTTAATTAAGCCTTAAACTATAATATACTAAATTAACCTAGCCACCCAAATAGAAAATTGCAACTAGGATCAAATCATATGGAATAGAGACATAATTCAAAATTTTTCACAAACAACATGATCAAATTTGTAATTTAACTAATAAATTTCCATTATCTCTCTCAAATTTAAACATACCGATAAAAGGAATCTGGTCAGAATTGACCTTATTTTTTTTTGTTAAGATATGAAGATAAGTTGAAAAGTAGAAATAATTGAGAGTTATATAGTTGTGGGACTCACTACAAATCTTTCCCCAACCTCTTTATTATTGTACTTCTAAATCTTAAAAAGAAAAAACAAATGACACTCTTGATCTAGATTTAGTGAAAGACCCCAGAGATGGGCAGCTTTGGCTTTTTGTATAAAGGAAGGAGTACGTCTATTTTAATAAATTATATTCATTATTAATTGCGTCATATCTTATTTTATTATTATTTTAATTATTTAATACGGTACGAAGATTTGAACGAGTAAATGTTATTTACCGCTAAACTCATGTTAGCGAAACATCTCAATTATCCCCGATTTAAAATATTTGATAAGTATTGATTGAAGCAATCACGAATAAAAGAATATTAAACTTTTTTTTTCTTTAAACAAATACATCAAAGTCAAGATGTTACCAAACTTTTTAAAATACACCCTTTCCTTCTCTCTTAAAAAAAGAATTCTAGATCTTTTATAAAGATCATTAATAAAGAAAAAGAAAAAGAACTATTAATAATTTGGCTGAACCAAACCATTATATTTCCAAATCTACCCTTGCTGTCAGTTTACAAAATTACCCACAAAATTTCTTCATCTTTCCTGATGAGGACAGTTCAAAAGGCTACATGGCAGCATAGGATTCCGACACGTGGACATTTAACCATCTCCCCAAATGGGCCTCCGGTCCCATCCACTTGCCCGCCTCGCCATTTGAATGTTCAAATACATTTCTCTCTCTCCTCTCTCTCTCTATCTCTCTCTCTCTCTCTCTCTCTCTCTCTCATTGCTTCCTCCGCCGGTCCGCCGCCCTCCGCCGCCACGGTTCGCCGGAGCGAGAAGTCCCTGTTTTCAACTCGGCTTAGGTTAATTGCTTTTCCCCTGTCCCGCGCAGATTCCTCATTCACTGTTCTCTCGAACCTCACGATCTGCAGATTTTCCGAATTTTGAATCTGAGAGGTGTCCTTCACTTGCCCCTGGCAATTCGAGGATTCTCCTTTCACTTCCGGAGATTTTTCAATGTGGTTTTGACTGTTCATTTGTTTTAGAAAGTACTTTCTATGCGTGAAGGTGAAGAACCTTCGACCTGCTTCGACAAAATAGGTAGAAGCTCACGGGCATCACTGGTCCAACCTCGGTGGAACAGTTATTCCGATATTCGAAAAGGTTTATTTATTTGTTTATTTATATTTCTTGCTTCTTTGTTATCTGTTTTCTGCTGTGCTCTTGAGGAAATTTCGGGAAGGAAAAAAGAGTACTGAAATGAATTTTTTGTTTGTTTACTTGTTCTTGTATTTATGTCGAATGAACTGAGGTAACATTAGTTAAGTAGTTTCTTTTCTAGATCAAATAGTTCTTGATTCTTCTAGATTTGTGCTTCAATTTTCTCAGCTGGAAGGTGGGGCTTTCTTTTGTTGTGCTGCGAAATGTTAATGGAACTGAGAAAGTCACAACCCCATTAGCCTGCTTTTTTGGTTGCTTTGATAATTTGATTTTCGAATGGGGAGGCCATGGATTTGATATTTCACTGGCCACTTGTTGCACTTTCACCTTTTTCTTTTGGCTGGAGGAAAAATTGTGTAATCAGAAAGAAGTTTGATTTTATGTATTTATTCGATTTAAGTGATGCAATTTGCCTGCAATATCAAGGCCCAGAGGTATCTGCCTTGGGTTTGAATGTACCTTTGTTTAAAGCAAGTTTTGAAGGAGTTGCTTTTTGACTTTTTTTGGCAGGGATTTCTTTATATGATCGTCTCTTTGCGTAATTATTTTTCTGGACATTATTGAGGCGCGTGAAAACAAGTTGCTTGGAAAAGTTATCGCCATCCAGGTGCCTTCTGAAGTTCACCTTTAGATTGAATTTTTATTTTTATTTTTGTGAACTCTACCCCCCTATCTCTCTCCTTTGTCCTTTTTATTTGAAATACTGTCTATTTTAAAATAATATATTTGCTTTGTTTTGAAATATTGAATTCTGTCAGTAGCAATACTCGATTCCTTATCAAATGCTCTCAAATTCCATTTTTCCAACTTGGGTGTTGTTTTTTTCTTTTAAGATTTTATCTGATCCTTCGCCCCTTTCTGCTCGTGCTGCATCCAAAATTTTCCAGGAAAGAGYCAGGTTTTCAAATCTCAAAAGCAGCAGATTACATGCACCACGCTGTCACCTACCTGCATTACATGTTGGTTTGAACCATGAGATATGGTTTATACCACTTCCTACATCGAGTTGATTTAGAAAATCTTTTGCTATCTTATGTAAATGGCATCATCTCTTCTGTTGATTCCTCCTCGTTTTTGGTTACTCTGTAGAATAAAAATGAAAACAGAATTGATGGTTTGGTAAAATGAGTAGTCCACGCTTAAGTTGAATTTGGAATCCTCTAGGCAAGCTCTGGAAACTTGATAAAAATATTTTAGCAGAAGAAATGTCTGAAGAGACTGAATCCAAGAGAAGGTCACCCTGTCCTGTTGCCAAGTTGATGGGTCTGGATGGGCTGCCAGTGCCAGTTCGGCAGTCTTCTTGTAAACAACAGAAGAATACACAAGGGAACCATCCGCAGAGGACAATATCATCTGAGAAATCTAGGGGTGTTACATCTGATGACAATTGGTTGTATGCACGAAGTTCAAGGCAACAGCAAAATTATAAGGATGTGTTTGAGGTACGGGAAACATTCATAAAGGAAAGCAGTTTCTCAGTACCCAAGGTTGCAAATCTGAAGCCTGCTCGAGCAGAGTTGGAATTTATTCAGAAGAAGTTCATGGATGCCAAACGTCTCGTGACTGATGAGAAGCTACAGGGTTCCAAGGAATTTTGTGATGCAATTGAAGTGCTGGATTCAAACAAGAACCTTCTACTGAAATATCTCCAGCAGCCAGATTCTCTGTTCATGAAGCATCTGCATGACATAAGTGATGTTCTTCCCCACTCTAATCGTAGTCATATGGCAGCTACGAAGTCATCTGATGATGAAAATCATGAGTGCTATGACTATGGTAGGAAGTTAGTGAGAAGAAATCCACGTAAGAAGCACACAAAATCTCGCAAACAGTGTAGTGGCCATATCAGCACTTCTGATTGTAATTATGTTGCCAAAAATTCTGTTAAGAGTTCAAGAATTAAATTGGAAGACAATGAAGGGCTGGCCATCTTCCCCAAAAAAATTGTTGTTTTGAAGCCAAATCTTGGAAAGGCACAGAAATCTTCCAGCATTGTTATACCTTCTTCACATGCTTTTCAGTCTGATTGTAGGAAAGGATCAGAATTTGAAAGGATAGGGAACAACGGGACAGAAACTTTCAGAACGAAAAATTATCATGATGATGTAGGGTTATCTAGGCATGACGTTAGATATTCTAAAGAAATTTCCAAGAAGACTACTGGGCAAGTAAAAGAGAACTTTGATTATGGTTCCATGAGCTCATCTTTTGGAATAATCAGACGTGAAAGGGATGGGAGTTCTTTCATTGGGAATGATATAGATGCTGGAAAATGTAAATCCAGTGATATGTTTGCCTTAAATGGTCAATGCCCGTCTTCATCATTTCGTTATAAAAGGTCATCCTTGAGTGCAGAGGCTAAGAAGAGACTTTCAGAGAGGCGGAAAACGACTTGTGACTCCCATGACACGGGAGGGGTCAGTAGGAGTTGCACACTGGCTGAGATGCTTGCCATGCATGATAAGGAAATTACTCCTGCATATTCGGAACCAAGGTTTGGAGGGGGATCCAGTGCTAAAATTTTTAATGACCAGCGTGTTGAACCTTTTGGTATAAGCAGTAGGGATGGCTGGAAGGACATCTGCTTAGCAAAATTATCTAGGTCAAGATCTCTTCCTGCCTCATCAACTGCCTTTGAAACTCTTAAAAAAAGGCCCGAGTTTCTGAGCATGGATCAACTTGTGATGCCAAAAGAGGCCTTCGAGTGGGAAAGAAAGGAGACAATTAGCGAGAGTTTGTGCAGAAGGGAATATATAGCCCGCAGAAACTCTAGATCTAGTAGAAAGAAAACTCATAGTTCTATCTGTGCATTTGGTGAATATAACGACCCTGTACTAGAAATTTGCACTAGCCAGAATCAAGACAGTGATTTTAATGACAATGATCCAGCCGAAAGAAGTCCTCTGGTTGAAGAATCAACATTTTGCCCTGTGACGGATGAAACTCATGTTCTTGAAAATTGGATAGATATGAGAGTGAAATCCGATGAAGTGATTGTAGCATCTAATGAGGAACTCCAACCTCAACTATCTGTTCATTCAATGGTAGAATATAGTTCTTGCTCTGGCGACCAAGATTGTTTTATGTCCAAGGTTTGTCTTCAAATATTATTACTGTACACTTCAAGATATTTTAACCATATCCTGCATTGGACAATGTTTCCCCACTCTAAACGTTTTGTTATATCCAGGAATTGTCACCTGAGGCATCGGAAGATACTTCATTCCATTTAAAATCTGTACTTGGATTAGAGTCTCCTGCAAGCTCGAAGGAAGCTGATCAACCCAGTCCAGTTTCAGTTCTGGAACCTCCTTTTACAGATGACCCACCTCCTGGTTCTGATTGCTTTGAGAGCCTCAGTGCTGACCTCCATGGTAATTACATGAGATTATGTTCTCTTTTAGGCATTCAGAGACTAGAATTTTGTGGATCTATCATCTTTCGATTACTTTAGCTGGATAGCTTTTAATTCGTTCTCCTCTGACTTATGAATACAGGTCTTCGAATGCAACTCAAGTTACTCAAGTTAGAGACAGAATCTTTTGCCGAAGCGGAAGAACCCGAGCACATCCCAAGTGATGAGGATGGGGAGGAAGGATCCATCGCTTTCCCAGAGGAGAAATATGCATGTAAAGCTGAAGGTAGCTGGGAGCTTTCATATCTAACTGATGTCTTACACAACTCAGCTTTTAGAGATACTTACCCCGACATGTTCGTTGCAATGTGGCATTCTCTGGAGTGCCCCATCAATCCTTCTACATTCAAGGAGCTTGAGAAGAAGTATGCCGATCGGTCTCCTCAACCAAGGTCAGAAAGAAAGCTACTTTTTGACCGTATAAATTTAGGAATTTTGGATATTTACCAAAAGTTCACTAATCCTTGTCCATGGGTAAGGCCTCCAACAGTTGAAGTAGGGTATAATGAAGGGCTCTGCAATAATTTGTCTAAGTTTCTAGCTAAGCAAGTGAAGAAAGTAGATGAAGACATAGTAGAGAAGGTGCTGGAAAAGACAACTCAATGGTCGGTGTTGGGGTACGATGTCGATGTAATAGGCAAGGAAATTGAGAGACTAATGGTAGATGAACTCGTAACCGAGGTAGTCGAGATGTATCTGTAGATGATGTAGCTTTCATATAATCTCTTATGTCGAAATAAGATATCAAAGCCTTTAAACAATATCCACGAGCCAAAAAACATTTAAGAAGAATGCATAAAACTATGTCCAAATCGAATTGTTACCACGAAAAGAAGATGGACCCAAAAAATTATTTATCTGTATTGATCTTATTCCTATTTTTTATTTCTTGTTTCATGGAGCATATTAGCATTCTTAATTTTTGAGAAACATACGCGTTTGGTGGTTTTTAAGAAATGTTTTCTAGATATGTGTAGAAATTTTAGAAACAAAATTAAATTTCTGGTTTCTAGTTCCCGTTTTCAATTTTCTATTTCAAGATAGAAATAAAAGCATTATTTTGTCATTCTTGACGCAACGATTTGATTTTTTATATATATAACATAAAAAATTAAATATTGAATGAAACGAGAAACAAGAAATGGTTACTCAACATATTTTTATTTCATTTTTCAATATAAGAAGAAAGAAAAGAAAATGTTATCAAACACGGTTTTATTTTTATTCATTGAAAAGAGGACACGAGAAATCGAAACCCGAGAAAAACAAGAAACATAGATGTTACTTAACATCGCTATCTTTCTAAATCCAAAAAAAAAATGTTGTTAAAGATAGATTTAATCATTGTGCTCTTCTTTGAGCCATTCAATGGAGGTTTAAACAGCTTCCCAAAAACCATATTCTGTGGAATATTTTTGGAGAAGACAAATCTCATCAGATAATAAAGGCTTTGGGAATCAATAAGGCATGGCTGTATTGTATTACACCAAAACCATGGGGAATCCAATTCCCCTTCTTTAAAATATTTCAATGGTCTTTTTCCCAATAATTTTGCTCAAAGATGCCACTCTTTTCCTTCCTTACTGAAACCCCAAAACTTAAAAAGCAGCAAAGGAAAAGAGAATTAACTTGAAACTGTCAACAGCATGCTCCAAAATCCCAACTTTTTATACCAGATGTACACTAAATTCAAACATTTTTCAGTCATAAGATGTGATTAATCAAGCTGGTTTTCTGGCATTTCTGTGGTGGCTGATGCTGAAGCCACAGTCAACGAGGTGGATGGCGGTGACTGTGGCGGTGGCGGTGGCGGGGTTGGCGGTTGAGAAGTCCAAAACTTGGCATGCTTCAGCTTTGATACGCTCGCCAACACGCCCACCGGCGTTACATCTCCTTCTATGGTCACTTTTTTGGCTGCATAGTCTATGTTGAAGGATGTCACTCCTGCTTCCAAAATTGAGAGCATTCATTCAAAATCTTTCTTATATTTACCATTTTGATATATGTTATGATACCGATCATGTCACATGAGAGAAAAGTTCATTTTTCGTAAGAACTCCGAATTCTAAGAAGAGCGAATTTAAATTCATAGAAGAAAAGAAAGAACAGATTAAGAGTATAGTATATTGTTCAAAAACCTTGCATTTTTGAAAGATGTTTCCTGACTTTTCCTTCACAACCTTTACAGTGCAGTGACACCATCAACACCACAACCTGCAACCAAAACCAAACATTTCCTTAATGAAAAAAGACAGCCACTTACCTCTTACCTTATAGAATGCTAAAAATAGTTACATGGTTCCATGCTTGTTTTCTGTCACATTTCTTCTTTATCACTGAAAGGCATAGCAAAATGGCAAACCTGTTTGGTAGGAGTTGGATTTGGCTGCTGAGACAGTGGTGCTTGAGTTGTTGATGAAGTAGACTGATCTTGAACTACATCAGTTTTGACATCTTTGTATTCTTCAACCGGGACGATATCATAAACAGGGTCGATCTCGGGCAGCCTGTTGAAGAATTGTGAATGTGTGTCGGTATCACTTTCAAGTAGGTATCTAGAGGAGCCAGCCGGTGGCGGGGGCGGAGGAGCGACTAGATCACTCAGCTTAGCAAAGCTCCTAGTAACAATATCAGTGGGAATGAAGGAGCTCTTCTTCAAAATATCACTACTTTCTTTCTTTTCATTTTCTTGTTTCACTGATGGGATTTTGGTATTGGTTTTTCTGTTGCCCTTAGAAGAGGACTTCTTGCTCTTTGTGAGTTGATAGTGAGGATGGGGACTGATCGGAGGCCGAGAGAAATCGCGAGGAGGCGTTAATAGAGTGTTGGTGGCAGTGCTGTTTCTTCTTGCATCACAGATGATCGGGTTGTGGCGATCGAGAGCACGGCCACCGAGCTCAATGGAAGGCGAGGGCGGGAAAGAGGAGGAGGAGGAAGAGGAGGCTTGCTCAATTTCCATTCTTGAGCATATGGCTGTTGAAGCTTGGGATGCAAAGAATATATCTATTCCTTTCATCTTTTGGTAATGATTTTATTGAGAGAGAAAAAAAGCTTTGTTTCTTATTTAATTTTGAAAAGTTGAAGAATTTTAAGTTTCCCAACATAATAATGAGAATTTTTGGCTAAGATTCAACATGGTAAGTAGATACTGAATGGAACCAAATAAATTATGGAGTCAGATTCTTCCAGTTGAAAAGAAAAACATGTAAAATTATCATCCTGACCCTGCAGAATTTATATGATATGTCCAACAAAGTCATGTCTTTATTCATTGAAAACTTCTGAGAAAATTGACAGAGAATTCAATTCCTATGTTTAATGCTCTGTGGAGAGTGAGAGAAACCAAACAAATCACAGCTTGAAAGCTGCAACTGTCTCCTTGCAATTATGTATAGTTCTAAGTAACTTAGTCTTGTAAAATATTCTTTCATTACATATGTAAATAAACCTTCAATGCAATAGGTTTTCTCTAGACACTTTTTTCGACATGTTCGTCGACCGTGATGAAGACCATGAACTTTGCCGTTTGTTTCAACAATACCTCTATAACTTCAAAAGTTTCAATACTATCTCTAACCTTTCATAAACGTCGTTTCTAAAATACCATTCGAGCAAACATTTGTTATTATATTTTGAACAGAAAGTTGACGTGATAGAATTTAAAAAGATGTGACAATTAGYGTCGTCGCTTCTCCATTTGTAATAAAAGTTCATATATTCATTTCATTTTGCGCCGAAAAGTCTTATTCCTCATTTGTCAACAAAATTTGCTTCTTCATCATTTACCAATTTTGTCCCAATCCCTCTAAAAACGAAGACTTTTCCTCTCCCTTCATACTTAATCCAGACAAACTTCCACGTTAATTGCCACGTCATTCCAAATTCTGCCACGTCAGTTTTTCGTTGAAGGGTTGTATTGGTATTTATTTTCTTTATGATTTAGTCAATCCCTTTTTAGGCATTACTTTTATGTGGCTAATCACAAGGTTAAATCTGACCCAAGTCACAAAAATGAAGGTCAAGCCCACCATGAGAGTGGTAATACAATACAAATCCATACAGCTAAAAAGGGGAAGGTGGAAAAGAGAGGGAATAATAACTTGTGAATAAGCATTACAAGGACTCTAGATTCTACAAGAACAATTTGTGGCAGTTTCTTGGCAATCCCCATTTTCATTCTTTTTTTCTTCTTCTTTTTATTGTGTTGGAAAGTATTTACACCAAAGCTACTTTTCTTCTTCTTTGTTTGAGTTCCCTTTGAGTAGCTCATGGAATCAAATGCTGGTTCTATTGGCTTTCTTTTTTCACATTTTGGCCAACCCATTTCCACCAATATAATGTTTGAGCCTCTCGTCCGCCAAAGCGAATATAGTTTAGTAGTAATTGACAAAATGAATCAAACCTGAAATTATAGGGACCAAAATAGTATTTAAACTTTATTTTTAAATGATTATGACGAGACGTGGCGTAAAAAGAAAATGTCGATTTGAGTCGATTTCTATAACAACCACATTATATGCAAGATGTAATTTCAAAACTCCCCCTTTCAAATATTTGTTTTATTTTCTACAATATCACTATTTTTGTTTTTATTTATTTTATTTTTTGCTGAGGGAAATGGAATTTGTTCTCTCCTTTTGGATAGAATTGGATTCTTTTACATGCAAACAATGGGTTTTAGGATGCTTTGGAATCAGATCCTCAAGTGTCCAATCATCCAAAGTTTTCTGTTCCAATTACCCACCGAAAGGCGCAAAAGAGATATTATAGGAAGTTTTTTGGGTAAAATATATTTGTATTCTTCAAAGTTTCTATTCAGTTCGTACATTTAAATTTAGTTTAGTTTGACCTCCGACSTTTAAAAAATAGTTCTAAAAGTTATATGGACTTGGACAATTTTTTAGAATAATATGATAATATTTATTAATTTTATATTACTTTTTATTTATGTGTCATTTTTTCCCTTTTCACTTCTCTCTTTCCCTCCTCATCCTCCGGTATTCCTTCGATATTCCTTCGATAGTGCTGTCGCTCCTCCAAATCAAACTCATTATCGGAGGGATTTTAGTTTCAACACGGTGGTGTCGTCGCCATTCAATGTGTCGATGCCCAAACTCATGGAGCTGGGTTTGGGTTTGGCGAAATCAAAGAAACCGTTCATTTAGTCAAAAGAAAAGAATATGCAACACAAGGGCGGCATAAACAGGTAGTGAGATGTAGGAAGGGAGCGAGACCAAACCGAGGAAAGTAGGGGAGAGGGGAGGGAGAGTTTAAAATAATATAAAATTAATAAATATTGTCATATCATCTAAAATCTATCAACATACCAATACCACCTCAAGGTCGAGAACCAACTTTCAACTTACCAATGCCACGTCAAAATTCTATTAGTAACACAAACGGAAGTTTTTTTTCTAAAAGTCGGAAAGCCAACTTTCAACTTGTGAAACTTACCGAACAAATAGAAACATATCCTCAAACTTAGTTCCCAGAATATTTCATAGTGCAGTACACGGACTATCTTCCAGTATTGACACAAAACTTTGAACTCTACAAAGAACCGTGTAATTTAGATCACGTCCATTATCAATATAAAACTGACTAAAATCACCAAAACTCAGCAGATGGAGACGGTCCATATATTTCACCAGTTAGGAAACTTGAGTAACCCTTGATAGATTTGAAAAACTTTTAGAGAAATGATCACAAATCTAATGGTTTGTATATCATAAGAAGGTTGAACTGGATCATTCACCAAACTCACAAAAGAAATTAAAACCTGAATGAATAAACTTAAGCTAGATGGCTGTGTAAAGCAAAACTTAAAGAAACAATATCACACCATCATATCATTCATATTGACAAATACAATATATGTATGAGATGTTTATTTGCATGGATACATATATGTAGTGTAATGGGGCAAGTGGAGATGACAGGCCCAGAGATAAAGAAGACACTCATAGCCCATACAAACAGATTGGGCTGCTTCTAACAACCATACTTTCAGGTAGCCTAATCATGCTGGATCAAGGAAACAAAAAAAAGATGGGCCTAAAAAGCCTTTTCACCAGCAGCATAGATCTACTGGATAAAATGCATTGAAAAGAACAAAAATAAATAGGGATGTGACACTCAAGCCTGTAATGAAGAGCAAAAAACCTTTTTTATGTTCCTGGAGTGGGATGAAGCTCAATTTGGAGGGTATTTGGACAATGAATGAATGAAGCAATAAGATTCAGTCGCTTTGCACTATACATACTTGTCTCCTTGTGATTTTCTTCATTTGATACCTTTCCCTTCATCTTCATTCAAAATGCGCTTCTGGAAGTCGCTCACCATGAGAGGCAGTCCTTCTCTTAGTGAGATTTTGGGCTCCCAGTTGAGTAATGACTTTGCTTTGCTAATGTCAGGTTTTCTCTTGTGAGGATCATCAGCAGTATTTGCTCTGAACTCTATTGTTGCACTTGGATCTATAGTTTCTTTGACAACCTATGTAACCAGGACAAGAAATAAATGTCTAAGTTGTATCTATAGAAGTCAGAAACTCTCTCACCCTCTCTCGTTGGGAGTGCACATGCAAAACTCAGAGACAACTTGCAAGAAAGGTCAGGTCAAATTACTTAAAATCCCTTTTTATGGATCCTGAAATGACCTGAAGATGCATGAATGTTGGATTAATGAGTCAATCATCAAGACAAACCTCGGCCAGTTCTAGCATGGTAAATTCTCCTGGATTGCCCAAGTTGAAAGGCCCCACATGTTCACCTTCCATTAGTGCCACCAGTCCGTTAACCTGCCATTGGAGATCATTCTCAAAGACCTCAATATAGGTTCGTTAAACCACGAGACAAGTCTGAATTTTAGAAGTTGAGATGCCTAGTTTAGATCTTTCAAGTCAAGTTCCCAATCCTAAGATGCCCTTGCACATATATACTAACCAAAACCAACAATTCAAATGAAAAATTACAAGCATATATCTTCATGGAAAATAGGTTCCAAGACAATAGAACCAGATGATGATAACGGATTGAAAATTACAAACTAATTTCAGAAAGTCATAAATGTTTCTGCCGAAACCTTTTCATTTCCATTTAAAAATGAAATAAGAATAAATGGGTGGAGGTTGCAAATGCATTATTGCATTTAACATAATGTTGAATGTCTTAAAGCCTATCAACTGGAATGGCAGTATATAGTCATCCAACAAGCCTAATTCAATCTACAGTTGATAAGTTCCAAGAAGTCAGAGAATGCCAGCAGAGCATTAACAAGAGTTTTTAAGTGAAGCTACTCAGACAGGTTCAGAACAGAGAAAATACGAAAAGTGAATATGCCATACCAAGTCAGAGACATATTGAAAGCTTCGTGTTTGCTTTCCATCACCATAAACAGTCAATGGTTGTTTGCGGATGGCCTGAACCATTGCTAAAAGGATTAGATTACACATTTTAAGCATCAATGTTAATCAATTTCTGAATCTTAAATAGGGGAAGGGGGAAAATCAAGTAAGCTGTTTAACCTGTGCAACAAAGTTGCTGACAACACGTCCATCATCTAAACACATTCGGGGTCCATATGTGTTAAAAATGCGAGCAATTCGAACCTACAAGCAGAAAATGTCACCACTTGTCAAATGAATATGAAACTGCAAGAGATTAATCTCATAATGGATATGGCGATCCCTATTCTCCATGTCCAATGTAAGCACTATAACAGCAGCTAATGGCTTACAACTAAAACATGAGTTGTTACCTCAACTTCAGCTCCTCTATGATAATCCATAGATAAGGTTTCTGCTGTTCTCTTTCCTTCATCATAGCAGCTCCTCTCGCCTAAAAATTACAAATTATGTTCTTAAAATTGTAACTCTGAAGCAATTACAGAACGAAATGCTCACGGTGCAAATCAGAATTGCACTTTACCAATAGGATTTACATTTCCCCAGTATGTCTCCTTCTGAGGATGCTCAAGTGGATCACCATAAACTTCACTCGTACTGGTGAGTAGAAATCTAGCCCCAATTCTCTTTGCTAGGCCAAGCATGTTCAAGGTACCCATTACATTTGTCTTGTGATAAGAGGTTAAGGATGTCCAGGCAAAAACATAATAAAT